AGCCTTGACCAACGCTTAACACTCTGCCTCGACTTTCCAGCCCACAGCCACAAGTTCGTCACTATTTCAAACTGTGTCACTTTGTGCTCAGAAGCCAACTGGGTCCTCGTCTGCTCCATCCCCAAGCAGTGGGAACACCTGGCTCTACGACACCTCGGTCCCTCAGGAGTGCTGTGACCTGGACAGTCTGCGTCCTGACTCTGAGCCTCTGCTGCCACATCTCTATCAAGGAGGCAGCTGGCCTGGTGACGAGCAGGGTTCCCTTTCAGGTTAAAAAAAAAAATCAAACTGGGGATCTTCTGTCTTTCATCATATCCTGTTGCATGTGGGTAAGAGGGACCTGCCAAAAATAGCGTTCTCTCAAAGACCCACGACACCCACTCGCACTGTGCCAGGATGGCCCACAGCACCAACCAGAGACTGCTGGGGAGGAAGCCAAGGCCCTGTCCCCGGGGCTAATGCTGTGGGTTCTCTCCCGGTGGCTCCGCGGAGTGGAGTCTCCTGCGACCCCCGCCTAGACCCCCTCCATGGAGACCCAGCTATAAACGGCTTCTCCTCCAACACTGGTGTCCGGCTCATCTCAGAACTGGGAGCCGGGAGTTCACAGCCACCCAGGGCCGCAGGGTGTGTCTGTCTATCTGTCTGTCTCTCTCCAGGCAGTATTCTACTTGGCCCAAGAGGCTCTGCTCCACAGACCACGTTCGTCACAGTGGTTCCCTTCTTGGTCAACACCGGGGACCGGCTGGCTGCTTCCTCTCAGCTTTGGTAACAAAAAAGGGGCCTCGCCCACCCAGGGTATGGCACAACTCAGGCTGCCCATCGGGCCACAGGTCACTGGCAGGTGTCCCCCCCACCCCAGCGCCCTGGATGGACAAAGCACAGATCCTTCGCAGACCTCATGGCTCAGCCTCCTGCAGGCCGCTCCTGGGCCATGACCACAGTGTGGAGCGCAGGGGAAAGCACCATCAGGCTGCGGAGCTGCCCAGGCACAAGTCAGAGTTGGTGCAGAAATCTACCTTCTCTATTCACAGCAAAAGCCCCAAGGACCCTAAGGTGCCACCCTCAGAATAAGTCAGCTCCAGAGATCCCCACCCAGGGCCAAAGCGGGTGAACAGCAAACAGAGGCAAGGGGACCTGGTCAGCAGGTGGGAGGCCAGAGGAGGGGTGTGTGCTGGCATCCGCTCACACGGGGAGCTGCAGGGACAGCAGCATGTCACACACTCAGAAGGGCTCCAGGAGAGGGTTCTCCATTTCCCCATGTTCTTATCACAGAGAAACAGTAAGGGTGGCAGGTGGCGGTACCTAAGCCCCAGAGGAGACTGACACTCAGTGGAGGAACCACCAACATGTAGCCTGCACCCCACAGACTGCCGCTGCCCTCTGGCCATTAGAAATGAACGGATGAAAGACAGCAGGGGCAAGGCCAGAACCCGCCCCACACCAGGGGAGCCTGGAGACTAACTACACTGAGGCTGCTCGGAGAGGAGCTGCAGCCACGCCCTAAGCCACCCTTCATCCAGCCACCCAGCCTCAAGAAAAGGAAATCTGACCCAGAGCACCAGCCACAAAGTACAGATTCCTGTCTGCTAAGCTTTCAAACAGGGGAGGAAAGGTTTCAAAGGCAGAGAACCAAGTTTAGAAAAAAATCTTCATGCAAAAAAAATTTGACCTGTTGGTAATAAACGGGCACCAAGATATCCACCTGGCCTCGCTGGGTGAGGCAGGGCCTCCCTGACTCCCTCCAGGCTGAGCAAGAACAGCCCTCGAGGAAGAGTGGGGAAGGGGACTGGACGTCCCCTCCTTGCTCATGCGCAGCTCCTACCGAGTGCTCTCAGGGTTCCAGGAGTCAGACGGGCTGCTTCAAAAATCAACCCAACTGTGGGTTTTGAATACTTTCAAAACACACCAGAAGACTCTCCCGGGTCCCGGTCGAGCAGACCAAGAACCAACAGCAGCTCCCTGCCAAGCACCTGCTAAGGACTGGCTCTGACCACTCAGCCATCAACAGTCCCCAGCACAGTCAGATGTGGGGACAGACGAGCAAATCAGCAGCTTCAAAACACTGAGGGATGTCACAGAGCCCTGGAGAAGGGCTTCCAGCGTGTGGTGGGGTCAGACAAGGCTTCCTGGAGGAAACAACTAAGCCGGGCCCCAGGAGGAGGAGGACAGATGGACGTGGAGGAGAGGCGAGACACAGGGAAGGGCTGGGCAAAGGGTGATCACGCCTTGGGGGCGGCTTGCTGGAGAGGTTTTCAGGGCGAGAAGGGGGCGGGACATGAAGCTCCGTGGATTTCCGCGCTGGTGAGTCACAAGCAACCCCTGCGGGCAGGAGGGCACCCAGAAACATCAGACACCCCCGTCAGCCCAGGAATACACTCTGTTGAGTGTGGGGGAACCCCAGGGGGATCCCAGACAGCCTGAGTCAATGGCTGAGTCTAAGAAACACCTTACTTACCTACTACCTGCCCCTGGCAGCCAGACAGAGAAATGAAGCCCAGCCCTTCTCGAGGCTCAGAACCCAGAAAAGCTGACCTAAGCCGTGTGCAAAGCCACCAGAAGGGAGACACCACACACAGAGTATGGAGGACGTGGGGACAGAAATGTCGTCCACTGTCCTCTGAAATGGGAGCCTGGATTCCATCAGGGAGGAACTGAGCCGCTGCACCTCCTGATGCTGGGCCGCGGCAGCCGTGGGTGGTCAGCCCACCACTCAGCACGGAACTCGCCTCCGCTGCCAAGCAGCAGACATCAGCACACGGCACAAAACCTTCCCTCCGTGACAGGTGTACGGTCTCTAGGGTCCCTTCTGGCTCTGCTCTTTGGTTCTCCTAGACAGAGCCATTTAAATGTCGGGGACACACTTCCTGGTTTCTGGAAACAGAAAATAAATCCTGTCATCTATAAATAATGCCTGAGGGATGAAGCCAGGGACTTAGGTGAAGGCAGGCAAGCTCTGCCTGGCTGAGGGGTCAGAGAACTGCCGTGAAGTGGCGTCCGAGATTGCTAACACGGCCCTCTACAACCACAGCGCCTCGGCCCCGCCAAGGCAAGCTGCCCTCCTGTGGGCCCTGCTCCTGCAGATGTTGTTCCCAGAGCCGCCCCGAAAGGAGAGCGTTATCATCTCCATCTCACGCACAAGAAGAGTCAGACTCCAAGACTGAGCACAGAACTGAGACTTAGCTCTGCCACCAACCCCACTTCCCTGCCATCCCCCCACCCAAAATGTGCAGGTTATTTCACCAACATCTGCCGCCTGACCTCGAGCACCTGGGAGGTCAAAAAAGAGGAGGCTCGGTCTCCTCTCGCTGGGAGGCAGATTCGGATGCAGACATGCTTCTTATAATCGTGCAGCCCGCTCTCCCCAGACTGCACCCTCAGGTGGACCCCAACTCCGGTTCCCCTGGTTTTCTATTTAAAAACCAGTCATTTCCTCAGCACGGCGCTGGGGCTGTCCCCGTGATTTGAGAGCAGCCGTCTGAATATGACTCCGTTTCCTCCCAGAGTGCAGCG